AAGACTCCAGGATCCCTTTCACATAAACAACTTTCAAGCCAGTGCCACCCATCCTATATCTGTGCATTTCCCTTTCTTCTGCCTTTTTTCATGCCAGAAGTAACTTGAGAAACTGCAAGATGCTTCTGGTGTGAGATAATTGGTCGTCTGCAAGGACGTTGTCCAGGGGACACCCGGATATGTTACTATTTATTTATTTATTATTTATTTATTTCATTTACTTATACCCCGCCCTTCTCACCCCGGGGGGGACTCAGGGCGGCTTACAGTGGGGGCACAATTAGATGCCCAAGACAAATTCACAAGCAATACAAATACAACAATTAATTAAAAACATCAATACATAATAAAATCATAATAAAATCATAAAACAATCTCATGCTCAGGGTTCAGAGTCCATATATCCGTTCCATTCCATTTGTCCTTGACTATCATCCGATCCTTCAGTTAGCTTTCAGAATGACCAAAGGCTTGATCCCAGATCCAGGTCTTCAGTTTTTTCCTAAACACCAAGAGGGAAGATGCCGATCTGATCTCCCCGGGGAGTGAGTTCCACAGGTGGGGGGCCACCACTGAGAAGGCCCTGCTCCTCGTCCCCGCCAGCCTCACTTGTGACAGTGGCGGGGTCGAGAGCAGGGCCTCCCCAGAAGATCTTAAGCTTCGAGGTGGGACGTAGAGGGAGATCCGTTCGGACAAATACACTGGGCCGGAACCGTATAGGGTTTTGTAGGTCAAAACCAGCACTTTGAATTGTGCTCGGAATTGGATCGGCAGCCAGTGGAGCTGGCGCAACAGGGGGGTTGTATGCTCCCTGTACGTCGCCCCGGTGAGCAATCTGGCTGCTTCTCACTGGACTAGTTGTAGTTTCCGAGCAGTCTTCAAAGGCAACCCCACGTAGAGTGCGTTGCAGTAATCCAACCGGGATGTGACAAGAGCGTGGACCACCGTGGCCAGATCTGGCTTCTCAAGGTACGGGCGCAGCTGGCGCACAAGTTTTAATTGTGCGAAAGCTCTCCCGGCCACCGCTGAGACCTGGGGTTCCAGGCTACATATGCTTCTCTCATGTCCCTGCAGGGAAGCTGGAGCTGACAGAGGCAAGCTTACCCTGCTCCCCAGGTTCAAACTGCACAAGGGTTTAACCCATTGCACCACTGGGGGCTCTTTTTCTGCCTAAGTGCCATACTGTATGTTTTTCCGAATGAAGCAGAGAGTGTTTGAGGACTGGGACATCCGTAGGGAGACCAAGGTGCTTGTTTATAAAGCCATTCCCCTTCTAACCCTATTGTATTCCTGTGAGACATGGACTGTCTACAGACATCAACATTGAGACTGAAATACAACACCGCCTGAGCTCTGTGAGTGCAGCATTCTTCCAAATGAAGCAGAGTGTGTTTGAGGACCGGGACATCTGTAGGGATACCGAGGTGCTTGTTTATAAAGCCATTCCCCTTCCAACCCTATTGTACTCCTGTGAGACGTGGACTGTCTACAGAGGTCAACATTGAGACTGAAATACAACACTGCCTGAGCTCTGCGAGTGCAGCATTTTCTGAATGAAGCAGAGAGTGTTTGAGGACCGGGACATCCGTAGGGATACCAAGGTGCTTGTTTATAAAGCCATTGTCCTCCAAACCCTGCTATATGCCTGTGGCATCCACCTCTCCACAAAGTCAACATTGACACTGAAATACAACATCGGCTGAGCTCTGTGAGTGCAGCATTCTTCCGAATGAAGCAGAGAGTGTTTGAGGACTGGGACATCCGTAGGGATACCAAGGTGTTGTTTATAAAGCCATTCCCCTTCCAACCCTATTGTACTCCTGTGAGACGTGGACTGTCTACAGAGGTCAACATTGAGACTGAAATACAACACTGCCTGAGCTCTGCAAGTGCAGCATTCTTCCAAATGAAGCAGAGTGTGTTTGAGGACCGGGACATCCGTGGGTTACTATTGTCCTCCCAACCCTGCTATATGCCTGTGAAACGTGGACTGTCTACAGACATCACAAGCAACTCCTGGAACAATTCCATCAGCGCTGCCTTCGGGAATGCCTGCAAAACGTGGACTGCCTACAGACGTCACATGCAACTCCTGGAATGATTCCATCGGTGCTGCCGCTGGAAAATTCTCCAAATCTCCTGAGAAGACAAGCAGACAAACGTCAGCATTCTGGAAGAAGCAAAGACCACCAGCATTGAAGCGATGCTCCTCCGCCATCAACTCCGCTGGACCGGCCATGTTGTACGGATGCCCGACCACTGTCTCCCAAAGCAGTTGCTCTATTCTGAACTCAAGAACGGAAAATGGAATATTGGTGGGCAGGAAAAAAGATTGAAAGATGGGCTCAAAGCCAACCTTGAGGACTCTGGCACAGACACTGAGAACTGGGAAGCCCTGGCCTTTGAGCGCTCCAGCTGGAGGTCAGCTTTGACCAGCAGTGTTGCAGAATTTGAAGAGGCACGAATGGAGGGCTAAAGAGAGAAATGTGCCAAGAGGAAGGTGTGTCAAGCCAACCCCGACCGGGACCGCCTTCCACCTGGAAACCAATGCCCTCACTGTGGGAAAGATGCAGGTCAAGAAGAGGGCTCCACAGTCACCTACGAACCCACCGCCAGGACACTAAACTTGGAGGACCATCATCCTTGGACTATGAGGGATCGCCTAAGTAAGTAAAGTAAGTAAGTAACTTGAGAAACTGCACGTTGCTTCTGGTGTGAGATAATTGGTCATCTGCAAGGACGTTGTCCAGGGGACATCCGGATATGTTACCATATATGCTTCTCTCATGTCCCTGTGGAGAAGCTGGAGCTGACAGAGGGGAGCTCACCACGCTCCCCGAATTTGAACTGCACAAGGGTTTAACCCATTGCACCACTGGGAGCTCTTTTTCAGCCTAAGTGCCATACTGTATGTTTTTACCTGTTGAAGTATCTTTTGTCATTCATGTTCCAACTAATCGCAAGCAACGTGTGTGTCATTGCTTTCAACCTGGTTGTACTTCTCTGAGAGAGAAGCAAAAGATTGTGTGGATGGAGCAGACATTCAGCCTCGTTTTTCCCCCCCGTGATGCTGATTTGGAGACGAGCAGAAAGCGTTGCATTTCCCCGAAGCCTCGTGTTGCCCTTCCTTTCACCTCCTTTTTCTGCTGCTGTCGCTGTTGGGAACAGGCTGAACAGAACAACCGTGAGACAGGATGCCTTCTTTCTCCCACCCAACCCTTTTGTTCAGGCTTGCTACTCCCTTGTCAGCTACTTCTCTCATCCTCAAGCTCCAAAATCTGAAATGTGTGGGTCCATTTGTAGTGCAACTAATCCATTTTACGGTCGTGTAGAAAAAAATATTTGCAGAAATGCAACAGTAATACAATCATGTATGGAAATGGGATGGTCATCACAACGCATGAAGCATTTGGAAACTGTTGACAGCTTTCATGGCTGGAATCACTGGGTTCTTGTAGGGTTTTTTGGGGGCTATATGGCCATGTTCTAGAGGCATTCTCTCCTGACGTTTCACCTACATCTATGGCAAGCATCCTCAGAGGTTGTGAGGTCTGTTGGAACTAGGAAAATTTATATATCTGGTGGAGCTGACTTAACAGGGGGGTTGTACCCCACTCCAGTAAGAACACACTGGAGTTCATATTTGATGGGCAGCACTCTCAAATGGGATGTTTCATGCGAGATTGCAAGCTTCCATTCTTACGAAAATGTGTTTTGTCAAACCAAAGAACAACAAAGTGCAGTCTTCCTTTTCAGGAACCTTTCAAAGAAAAGGACTCACGCTTTTTGACTACCCTCACTATATTTTTAGGGGGTAAATGGAAATATATAAGTAGTTGATAAGTATAGAAATGTAAAGTATCTTTTTATTTAGAATTTTAAATAATAATAAAATTAAAAATTATGTACAGCTGAGTAAGTAGGAATTGTGGGATTTGAAGTCCAGAACACCTGGAGGTCCGAAGTTTGCCCATGCCTAATTTAAATAGAATCTACATGCATAACTTTTTACTAAATATTAGAAAGGTGGTGTACGATGCAAATGCCTAGTATGATGTAATTTTTGTTCAAGATGTTTCTAACTTGAAAGCATACAGTGTTCCCTCACTTATTGCAGGTGTTACGTTCCAGGACCACCCGTGATAAGTGAAAATCCGCGAAGTAGGGACGCTATGTACAGTAGAGCTGCTTCCACCTTTGCGACCCTCCATCCCTCCCTCCCTTGCTCACCCACCCGTCCTCCCTTGCTCACTCACTATTCACTGGGCCAAGTCCTGGTTCTGCCACCAGGACCCAGCCTAGTGCATAACGAGTGAGGGAGGGTGGGTGAGGGAGGGAGGGAGGGAAGGAGGTCCACAAAGGCAGAAGTAGCGGCATAAGAAGGAGCCTGAAAGAGGTGGCCAGGCTCTTGCTTCTGCCACCACTGCTGCCCTTGCCACCCTCGTTCGCTCACTCACCCACCAACCTCCCTCGCTTGCTACTCACTGGGCTGAGTTCTGGTTCTTCTGCCAGGCCACCTCTTCCAGGCTCCTGCTTCTGCCTTTGTGACCCTCCCTCGCTTGCTCGCTCACCTGCCCTCCCTTGCTCACTCACTACTCACCTAGCCGTGTCCTGGTGGCAGAACCAGGACTCAGCCTGTAACAAGGAAGAAAAACCGCGAAACAGAGAGTCTGCAATAAGCGAACTGCGAAGTAGTGAGGGAACACTGTATATGTAAGTATTCTAAATGAAGTGTTTTTTTTTAGATTTATTTGACAAGTTTCTGCAAATTGTATTTTATTTATTGCAGGACATATCATTGTAATTTAAATGTAGAATTTCTCCCCCCCCCCTCCCTCCCTCCCTCTCTCTCTCTCTCTCTCTCTCTCTCTCTCTCTCTATATATATATATATATATATATATATATATATATACCCCTTTATAATTATTCCTCTTTGAAAGAAGAAGCTGAGTCACTGACCTGTATTTTAACATCTGCTTTTCCTTTCCTTTTCTGCAGAGAAACAGAGGGAGTTGGCTCGGAAGGGGTCTCTGAAAAATGGCAACATGGGGAGCCCCGTCAACCAACAGCCCAAGAAGAACAACGTCATGGCCCGGACAAGGTGGGTCCCTCCCAACACCAAAGAGGATTGCCCTCTTTTTTATTTCTTCACGTGCAATTTGCTCTGGAGTCGTGATGGGAGAATTGCTCTGGTGCCGATGTTCCAAAAAGAAAGCAGACAGATTTATGGTTGATTATCTTCCTCAGAGTCTGAAAAGAAACAAGGAAGGACTCTAATGGCACCTTTTAAACCAGGGGTCATCAAACCTTTTAAAGCCAAGCGTCAGTATAAACTTATCAGGATTTTTTTGGGAAGTGTGGGCCTGATTTAGGCTGATGAAATAATGAAATTAATTCAGATTTTTGTTGTTGTTGTTGTTGTTGTTGTTGTTGTTGTTGTGAGCCTTCAACGTGTTTCAGATTCAGGGCAACCCTCAGTCTGATGAAGATGAAGATGGTGATGGTGATGGTGATGTTTAGGTCAGGGGCTGGATAAATGACCTTGTAGGACCATATTCAGCCCATGAGCCTTAGTTTGTGGACCCCTGGTTTAGGTGATCAGAATTATTCAATAGTTCAATGAACAAAATCATTTTAGCCATTGAATTTATAAGTTCCAAAGGATCGACATAAATCAGTAGTACTGAGGAAAGGGATTGTGACTAAACATAAGGCAACAACAACAACAACTTTATTTTTATACCCCGCCACCATCTCCCCAAAGGGTCTTAGGGCAGCTTACATGTAGGACAAAATGTCCATAAAACATAAAAGCAAAACAATCCATAAAACAAAACACAATAAAATTGAAAAAAAAATATTCACAATATCTGTTAGTTATATATTTACTTCATATACCACCTTTCTCATGGAGCAAATCCCAAGGTGGCTTTCCACAAACATTTATAATAATATTTGAAAACAACCAAAATCAATTTTAATCAAATCCACAAAAGCCAGACCTGCTCATGTGGATTTGATTGTTGCCATATGAGATACATGATAAAAACAGGGATCATACTTTGTCTCCTCAAGTAGAAGGTCCTACCAGACTCAGAGCAACAGATATAAAAAAATGGCCAGACAATTACAACAGGTGTTCTCGAAGGCTTTCATGGCTGGAATCACTGGGTTGTTGTAGGTTTTTTCGGGCTATATGGCCATGTTCTAGAGGCATTCTCTCCTGATGTTTCGACTGCATCTATGGCAAGCATCCTCAGAGGTAGTGAGGTCTGTTGGAACTAGGAAGAAGGGTTTATATATGTGTGGAATGACCAGGGTGGGACAAAGGACTCTTGTCTGCTGGAGCTAGGTGTGAATGTTTCAACTGACCACTTTGATTAGCATTTGATTGCCTAACAGTGCCTGGAGACATCAGAAGAGCTGCAAGACCAAAAACAAACCACGAGAGTAAAGATGAAGATCCACCCAGAGAAAAGTGTGCTTGCCAGACATCAAGGGAACCACTGACCGCATAGGGAAGCTGATGAGGAAACACAACATACAAACTATCTACAGACCCACCAAGAAAATCCAACAAATGCTCCGTTCAGCAAAGGACAAGAGGGATCCTCTCGCTTCTGCAGGAGCCTACCGTGTACCATGCAGATGTGGACACGTCTACAGAGGGACCACCAAACGCAGCAGCATTGCCCAGACACGAATCCAGGAACATGAAAGGCACTGCAGACCGCGTCAACCAGGGAAGTCAGCCATAGCAGAGCACCTGAGGAACCAACCTGGACACAGCATATTATTCAAGAACACAGAAATGCTGGACCACTCCCAACAACCACCATGTCAGACTACACAGAGAAGCCATTGAAATCTACAAGCATGTGGACAGAAAGGAGAAAACCATGAAAATGAACAAAATCTTTCTTGCTAAAAAAACTCTAAAATTAGAACAGCACAACAACAGAGAGGAAACAAACAAAGGACATCTAATCACCTCTCAACAAAAGATTGCTCCAGGCACTGCCAGGCCATCAAATGCTAATCAAGGTGGTCAGTTGAAACATTCACACCTAGCTCCAGCAAACAAGAGTTCTTTGTCCCACCCTGGTCATTCCACAGATATATAAACCTCACTTGCCTAGTTCCAACAGACCTCACTACCTCTGAGGATGCTTGCCACAGATGCAGACGAAACGTCAGGAGAGAATGCCTCTAGAACATGGCCCTATAGCCTGAAAAAACCTACAACAACCCAATTACAACAGGCCTGGGCAAACTTTGACCCTCCCTTCAGGTGCTTTGGATGTCAACTTCCACAATTCCTACAGCCTACCTAGTTTGCCCTGAAGTAAAGGCTTTGCCTCTTGCATTTTCCCCCTCATTTTTTAAAAAAGGACTATACTTTTGTGATATGTCTCCATAACCTTTCAAGCATCTTGTATGATTGATTTTTGAGCTCTTGTTGGAATCACACTAATCCCAGTTTTCAGTTTCAAAAATATAAAGAGAGCGCAACGTTGCAGTGCTGAAGAAACTATCAATTGGTTGAAAAGGGGATTAAAATGCTGCGGAGTCTGCTCCAAAATGCTATAATTGAGTAGTAATTACGATTTTTATCAAGTCATTAATGAAAAAATAATTAATCCCAGGGAAAAGTAATAGCCTCATTGCGTGTTTCGTGAATGCTGTGCTCTGTGCCTTTTGTTAAAGTGAGTAAGAGCTTTAGCCAGACCTCCGACAAAGATGGAGAAGAAGCCCAAGGAGGATAAAGGTCCAGCTTGCTTTTGGAATTTGGTTCACCTGAGCATATCATAATAACGCTCCCATCCAACTCCAGCTGGTCCAACTATTTAGCATCTTCATTATGGGCCAGTTTCTGTTTCCCTTTTTTAAAGTAATTGCTATTAAAAGATACTAAAACACAATATAGCAATGATAAAATATACAAATCAAATTGTAAAGTTATACAGCAGACTCTCAACTAACTGGCCTTCATGGGGAATTGAGAGTTACTATTAAAAATAGACCAAACTAATGCTATGCCCAATACTATACCATATCCGATACACCCAAATTTGAATACTGGTGGGGTTGGGGAGAGGGGTTGATTTTGTCATTTAGGAATTGTAGTTGTAGGAATTTATAGTTAACCTGCAATCAAAGAGCATTCTGAACAAACTTGGCATACAGAACTCCCATGACCAACAGAAAATACTGGAAGGGTTTGGTGGGCATTGACCTTGAGTTTGGGAGTTGTAGTTCACCTACATCCAGAGGACACTGTGGACTCAAACAATGATGGATCTGGACCAAACTTGGCACAAATACTCAATATGCCCAAAAGTGGACACTGGTGGAGTTTGGGAGAAAGAGACCTTGACACTTGGGAGCTGTTGCTGGGATTTATAGTTCACCTAGAATCAAAGAGCATTCTGAACCCCACCAAGTATAGAATTGGGCCAAAATTCCCATACAGAGCCCCCATGACCAACAGAAAAAACTGTGTTTTCTGATGGTCTTTGGTGATCCCTTTGACACCCCCTCATGACTGCCCCAGGGGTCCTGACCACCAGGTTGAGAAACACTGCCTTAGTGGGATGTTAGTCTGCTGCATGTGTTTTGCATTGTATACTCCCTTTAAAAAAACCTAGGAAATGCATGGGGTCTGCACAAGTCAGCAGGCTACTTCAAGGCAGATATGTACAAGAAAGCCTTTGAAGATCGGCCCCACTGCCCTTGGGAATAAACCAAATAGCCATGTGTTGCTACTCACCTTTCTGGCCTAAATGCTGTATGGTTGCCAGATTAATGGGCATCTAACCTGTATTTGACAGGTATTTGTCAAACATTTATGCAGCGTTTTCCCAGCATTTCTGTTGATTGTCCATAAAAGCATCCAAACATTATTGAGAAATCGAAGGGAATCTCTTTGCTACTTCCTGATTTCTTGCTTGCTTAATGTGTGTTTTCAACATGATCTGTGTAACACTCTTTCTTTTATTTTCAGGCTGGTTGTCCCTAACAAAGGCTATTCTTCATTAGATCAAAGTCCTGACGAAAAGCCATTGGTAGCGCTGGATACAGACAGGTATAGACTTAGATGCTGGGAAAGTTAACTATGATCTGTCTGTCTGTCTGTCTGCGGCTTTACTTTAGTAAATTCCTTTTGCGACTCTTTAAAGTCAACATTTGTTTTTCTTTCCAAGTATTCAAATGTCAACCTCCATTTTTTTGGCAAATTCTTCAGTTTTTCCTCCCCTGGATGCCATTAGATAGCTTGACCATTTGAATTTAGTCTTGTTACACTCTGGCCTGGATTCCCCTTTGCACCACACAAGAGTCCAGCCTTATTTATTGAAGAAAACCAATATAAAAAAGGAAAAGGCAAAAAGTAATACAAAAAGTAGTGTCCCAAAAACAATAGGAAAAAGGCTAATAAAAGGCAATAGTCCATACATCAGAGTTCATCAGAGTTCTGTTCAAAAGTAACAAGATACATGGAAAATCAGAAATCAAAACATAAGCATAAATCCGTAACCAGGAACTTCTTTCAAAACATGAATCTATGAACATGAGCACAAACCTTTCCCAAGGAACTTCAACATAGACTTGAATGTGGGACAAGACCAAGGTGCAAACAGTAACACTGTCACAACTCAGGATAGATTCACCTTGCTCAAGACACCACCACACACCAAGGCTGTAGGTTTTGTAGTTTATTGAGAAAAAGCAAAATCAAGTAGAGAAGTAAAGATGCAAAAGTTCAATAGGCAAAACAGAGTCTTAAATGCAAAGGCAAAGTTCCCAAGATCCAAAGGCAAATATCATGAAGCATAGTCCTTTAGCATTGGTTAAACAAGAGTCCATGGTAAGCAAGACAAGGTCTCCAAAGATCAGGATTAAAATCAAAGTCCCAAGGAGCCAGAAGCTTTCCGCAAAAGCCAAGGTATTTCCACAGAAGCTAACAGGATATAAGCAACATTGGACTGACAAAGAAGGCCCTTCAATCAAATCATTAAATACGTTTCTCCAACATGAAAGCATTACGTTGACCTCTAGCTTCACGTTTGTTGGCAAGGCATTCGCTTCTGCGAACTCTTAATTGTAAACGGTCCTGTCTATTCAAGTCTCCACTATCTTCAAGGCCAAATAGCTTATTATCTTTGCCCTGTTGGATCTGGTCACCCTGGGAACCAAGAGGCCCTGAGCTCCCAGAAGGAGCCTCCACCTGGAGCTCCGAAGTTTCACTATCTTTATCTAAAACTGCATTCTTTTCTCTGGGGAATAGAAATGCCATCTCTTCTTCAGAATCACCACTGTCTGCTTCATTTGTCTCACTAACCGGAACATGTTCAGAAATCTGTAACCCATCATCCTCCTCGTCCTGAGGAAACTCCTGAGGAAACTCAGGCTCAGGAAGCTCAGACTCAGACTGAACTACAACAAACACAACGTTGCCTGCTCTAACCCTTTTAATAAACAACACTTTCATTTAAGGACCTCAAAGCGATGAGGTCATGTCTTTGACATCTGCTCTGTTGTTTCAAGGATTTCTCACAAAGTCTGTGTGACCTCCGTCATCTGGCTCCCTCCTCCCAGAGATCGAACTTCCAACTCTACTTGGGGCTACCCTTGAAGATGGCCTGGAAATTACAACTCATCCAACTTACAGCAGCCAGATTAATAACCGGGGTGAATTACAGGGAATGGTCAACTCCCCTGTTTAAGGAGCTTCACTGGCTGCCATTTGTCTTCCAGTCCCAATTCAAAGCCCTAAATGGTTTGGGACCTGCCTACCTTCGTGACTGGATCTCTCTCCATGAACCAGCCCGAGCTCTTAGATCCTCAGGGGAGGCTCTCCTTTCGCCCTTGCCATTATCACAGGCTCATCTTGTAAGCACAAGGGAGAGAGCCTTCTCCTCTGTGGCCCCCCGACTCTGGAACTCATTGCCTGGTGAGATTAGGAAAGCCCCCACCTTAGAAACTTTCAAGAGGGATCTCAAAACTTGGCTTTTCCGATGCACTTTTGGAGAGTAGCCATACTATCATACACAGTTGCTCCCCCTCAACTTTTTTTTTGTCCCCAGAGTACATTTCCCCACCTGTATGAAGGTCTATTTTTACGACCCCGTTCCTTTATGAGTTTCTCCCTCACAAACAATCTGCTCCATCCTTATCTCATCCTGATTTTTAGTATTTTTAGTATTTTATCTTGCACATGCGGCCTGCTCATTGTTATTTTATTGTGTATTGTTTTGTTTTATCATTTTTTGTACTCGTATGTTGTATGTATTGTGTTGTTATTGTGTTTTGGTTTTATTTTATTGTAATATGCTGTTGGGCTTGACCTCGTGTAAGCCGCCCCGAGTCCCCATTGGGGAGATGATGGCGGGGTATTACATAAGGATGATGATGATGATTATTATTATTATATAACTCCTACTGACCTCAGGTGTTTTCCCAGGGGAAAGATCTCTCCCATTTACCTTATCTTCCGTTGCCAAGGAACGACTAGGCTAGGGGAAAGGTTCTCCCTATCTTCTGATGCCACAACATCTCCATCTCCACTCTGCTCTGAAGCTGTTTCTCTCACCAGACATAGACACATTCTCCCAGGCAGAATCGTGATCTAAAATCCCCTCATTTCCCACACTGGAAAGCCCATCACTCCTCACAACCTCTGATTGAACAATCTCCTCGTCTTCAGCCTCTGGCTGAACCACAACAAGTCTAATAACTCTTCCCTCCAATCCTTTTTAGATAGTTATTTTTCACCTTTCCAAGATTTCGCTATTGTCAGTCTGGCTGCAACAAAACAATAACAACAACAACAACAACAACAACAACAATGAAAATAATAATAATAATACTTTATTTATACCCCGCCACCATCTCCCCAAGGGGACTCAGAGCGGCTTACGTGAGGCCAAGCCCAACAACACATCAGTAAAAACAACAAAGCAAAAAGCAAATAAATCATAGAATCCTAGAGTTGGAAAAGACCTCATGGACCATCCAGTCCAACCCCTTGCCAAGAAGCAGGAATATTGCATTCAAATCACCCCTGACAGATGGCCATCCAGCCTCTGTTTAAAAGCTTCCAAAGAAGGAGCCTCCACCACACCCCGGGGCAGAGAGTTCCACTGCTGAATGGCTCTCACAGTCAGGAAGTTCTTCCTCATGTTCAGATGGAATCTCCTTTCTTTCCTGTAGTTTGAAGCCATTGTTCCATTGCGTCCTAGTCTCCAGAGAAGCAGAAGGGAAGCCTGCTCCCTCCTCCCTGTGGCTTCCTCTCACATATTTATCCATGGCTATCATATCCTCTCTCAGCCTTCTCTTTTTCAGGCTAAACATGCCCAGCTCCTTAAGCCGCTCCTCATAGGGCTTGTTCTCCAGACTCTTGATCATTTTAGTCACCCTCCTCTGGACACATTCCAGCTTGTCAATATCTCTCTTGAATTTTGGAAATATAACTTACATATAGACAATAACACGCAGCTATTTAAAAACCTATGGCCGGGTCAGATGTAATAGTTAAAATTTTAAAAATAAATGCTGGGCATGAACAGAGGTAGGATGTATCTAGTAGGAGGGTTTAAAAGAAATGTATGGAGAGCAACCCAATGGGTAGTTGACTATACTGACACATTTCCTCATCCTCTTTACTAACTCTCTCCCTAAATCTTCCTAAGAGGCGCATTCCTGGATTTTTCTTAACCTTATTAGTAATCATGTCAACAACATGTGGAGAAAAGCAAACCACTGACCACCTGCTGCAATGCAACCTGAGCCCTGCTACATGCACAATGGAGGACCTTCTTATAGCAACACAGAGGCACTCGCAAGTGGCCAGCTACTGGTCAAAGGACATTTAATAGAATGCCAAGTTTGCAAACTTTGTGTGTGTGTGTGTGTGTTTTAACACAATTTAACTGTTTGATTCACTCCTGATATGATAAATGTAAATAAAATTAGTAATCATTTTCTTTGGCCTGCTCTTCACCCTGCTCTCTCTCCTGCAGTGATGATGACTTTGACATGTCTAGATATTCCTCCTCGGGATACTCTTCAGCTGAGGTGAGTTCTGGTCCCATCTATCTGTTTGTATAAATCTTTTCCATTTCCCAAAGGAAGGGGGTTTAAGCCAGGTATGGGCCAACTTCGGCCCTCCCTCCAGGTGTTTTGGACTTCAACTCTCACAGTTTGTTAGGAATTGTGGGAGTTGAAGTGGAGAGCCCAAGCTTGGCGAGCCCAAGCTTGCCCATCCTGGACGACTGTTTTTCTTCAATTCCAAGACTCATTTCCCCCCATATACTATATATACTCAAGTATAAGACTAGTTTTTCAGCCCCCTTTATAGGCTGAAAAAGCTCCCCTCGGCTTGTACATGAGTCAAGGTTATTTATTATTTTACTCTGTTATTAGTATTAGTTTTATTACATTTATTATTTTACATAATGTGTTGTTATTATTATATTTACAGTATTTTACCGTATTATTATTATTACATTTATTATTTTACTCTGTTATTAGTATTAGTTTTATTACATTTATTATTTTACTTAATGTGTTGTTATTATTATTATTATTATTATTATTATATTTACAGTATTTTGTCATATTATTATTATTACATTTATTATTTTACTCTATTATTATTATTCCTTTTATTATTTTACTCTATTATTATTGGAAGGATATGTAAGCACATTTACATTGAAGAAGGTCAGAATAATAGTTTAATAAGAGTTGGGCAGACTTATCTTAAATTACAGTTTTATGTAAATATTCAAAACCATTTAACCTGCTGATTCCTCAATTAATATAATTTTATTGATATCTATTTTTATTTTTAAATTTATTTTTAAATTTATTTTTAAAGGTGGCTGCATTTCCCACCTTTAGCTTATACTTGAGTCAATACGTTTTCCCAGTTTTTTTGTGGTGAAATTAGGTGCCTCGGCTTATATTCGGGTCAGCTTATACTTGAGTATATTCGGTAAACATCTCTAAAAATGAGGTGCGTCTTAGAAACTCCTGGTGTGTATTTTTGTTGGCGTTGGTGGTTCGGAAATTAGGGTGTATCTTACAACTGATAGCATCTTACAATTGAAGCAGTAAAATAACAAATGTAATAATAATAATAATAATAATAATAATAATAATAATAATAATAGAGTAAAATAAATGTAATAATAAAGAGTAAAATAATGTAAATGTAATAATAACAATAATAAATAGAGTAGAATAAGAAATAAGAAATAACTTTGACTCAAGTATAAGCTGAGTTTTTCAGTCCTTTCAAAAGAACTGAAAAACTCAGCATATACTTGAGTATATATGGTACTTTCTTGGGTTTCAGGATTTTGAAAATTGAGGTGTGCATTAGTTTCAGTGGCGCATTAGGCTCAAGTCAATACAGATAGCATTGAAATGTCATTTCCCTGTAATCATCCCCTCTTAACTTATTGACTGGATCTTATTGGGTGGCTCCCCGACTCTTCTCGGTGGTGGCCCCTGGACTCTGGAATTCCCTCCCCGACCTGAAAACCTGGATGTTCCAGCAAGTTTTCAAGAATGATTAGTCCCTAGGCCAGTTATGGGCAACCTTTTGAGCTTGGTGTGTCAAAATTTGCCAAAAACCTGAGGATAACTTGGGTGGGGTGTCAACTTCGAGAAAAAAACCCCCATAATTTTGCAATATTTATAGGTTAAATAAGAAAAATGTATAATCCATGCTGAGTTATGGAGTGAACAATGCTCAAACGTGCAGATGTTAAATTTGTAGAGCCTTTTACAAATTTAAGGATGGAATTAGATTGGCTCTTATAAGGTGTATTTCTCTATATGTGGCCGCATGTGTCTGCGTGTCATAAAAATAGCCATGCGTGTCAGTGCTGACACATGTGTCATAGGTTCACCATCAGGGCCCTAGGCCATTAGATAGTCCACTGTTCTGCACTTCATCCACTTCCCTGGCCCTATGATACTCAGTTGTACTACCCCTTGCCCAGCCCTTTTTATAGTTGGCCACGTCCATTTTCTAATCCTGGACGTTGGTATTTTGAACCTATCCGATGGAGCTATAATGAAATTGTTTTTTAATTGTGTGTGTGTGTTTTAGCAGGTTTTTCATGTTTTATGATTTTTATTTTTATTTGTTTGTGTGGTTTTCTTTTCCGGCAATTGCATGCTTTGCCTTATTTATTTATTTTATTTATTTACAGCTTTTATATTCCGCCTTTCTTCTCACCCCGCAGGGGACTCAGGGCAGATTACAGTGTACACATATATGGCAAACATTCAATGCCAATTTTGACATACAACATATACAGACATACACAGAGGCTATTTAACGTTTTCTGGCCGCCAGGGGAGCTGTCGCTTTCATCGTCCATCTGCGACGCTGATGAAGTACTTCCGCATTCCCCGCATGGTGGAGTCTTTTCATGGCCTCATAAATTAGTTAATTTAGCCTCCCCACGCCTTAAGGTGGTACCTAATTTTCCTACTTGACAGATGCAACTGTCTTTCGGGTTGCAAACGTCGACAACAGGCTACACAGTTAGTTGGAAACCCACTCCAACCCGGGCTGGCTTCGGACTCATGACCTTTTGGTCAGAGTGATCTTAATGCAGCTGACAGCCAGCTGCGCGACAATCCCGGTGCTTATATGTTGGTAACTGCCCTGAATCCCCTTGGGGAGATAAGGCAGTATATAAATAAATAAATAAATAAATAAATAAATAAATAAATAATTATTATTATTATTATTTGATACACAACAAGATTGGTACACAGCAAACAAGATCACTATGCTAGCTTTTGCATTGGGTCACACGTCAGACCCTTCCCAAGTGTCAAGCACTGTGTGATGTATCGGCGAATAATGCATGCAGATCCCAGTAAGGTGGCCTTCTGCAGCTGGCAGATGGTAATTTTGTCAGCGCCAATTGTGTTTAAGTGCAGGCCAAGGTCTTTAGGCACTGCACCCAATGTGTCGGTCACCACTGGGACCACATTGACTGGCTTGTGCCAGAGTCTTTGCAGTTCAATCTTTAAATCCTCATATCGTGTCAGTTTTTCCTGTTGTTGTTGTTGTTATTATTATTATTTTACTGACACAAAAACACAGTATGTTTCCAGTTGTTGTTGTTGTTGTTGTTGTTACTATTATTATTATTTCACTGACACAAAAACACAGTATGTCACAGCAAATGAGATCTATTATTATTATTATTATTATTACTACTACTACTACTACTACTACTACTAGTGACCGCGTCTCCGTTTATGAACCCTCACTTCGATCATCCGGAGAGGCCCTGCTCGTGATTCCACCTGCGTCGCAGGCGCATTTGGTGGGGACGCGAGACAGGGCCTTTTCTGTAGTGGTCCCCCGACTCTGGAACACCCTCCCCGAAGATCTTAGACAGGCCCCTACATTGGCAGTCTTTAGAAAGAACTTGAAGACCTGGCTGTTCCAATGTGCCTTTCCAGGATAGGAATCTCCAACAACAAGTCCCAGAAGCACTTTACTAGAATTGAGATTGCCGCACACTGCACTTACCCTATAATCCTTACATATCACCTGTCACATCAGCACTTTTAACCTTGTACCCATTTCTCTGGTCCGGCCCAGTTTTATAGTGTTTTGTTGTATTGTTTATTGCTTGTTGTTTAATATTGCTTTAACTGTTTTTAATTTGCTTTGGGTGTTGTATTGTTATGTTGTTTTGTTGAGGCCTTGGCCTTTGTAAGCCGCATCGAGTCCTTCGGGAGATGCTAGCGGGGTACAAATAAAGATAATAATAATAATAATAATAATAATAATAATAATAATAATAATAATAATAGTGTTGGGGAAAGGGGCTGGTGCCGAGAGAGGGTCTGTTGTGTGACTTGTCCCATCTGCGCCTGCAGCAGATCAACCAGGACTTGAACATCCAGCTGCTCAAGGACGGCTACCGGTTAGACGAGATCCCGGACGACGAGGACCTGGACCTCATCCCCCCGAAGTCGGTGAACCCCACCTGCATGTGCTGCCAAGCCACCTCCTCCACCGCCTGCCACATCCAGTAATGAAGCGAGGGAGGCCTGGCGAGGGGCGACGATCAGTGCTTTCCACGATAACTGTAAAACTTAACAGCCATTGCTTCCTCCTATGGTAGGACGTGCACCTCTTTGTGTTCATGGAGCCAGGAGAAACCAAAAACAAAACAAAACAAAACAAATATTTCATTTTACGATCCTCTTTTTCATTTTTCTTTTCGGTTGTCACAAGTGAGCCGTGAGGTGCCGGGTGTGGCTTCTTGGCCAAGAGCGTCCATTCGGCCCCCTTGAGCCCGAGCCCGGCATCCAAGCATCCCGTATGGGGTTTGGAGCAGGGCGAGGGGCAGGTGAGCCCCTCCAGGTGTCCCTTCCTGCCTCTGTCCATTCCACCTGCAGCCAGGGTCTGAAAGGCATCCGTCTCTGCCCGGGCAGGGGATGATGGGCTGGCAGGCATTCACTTGGGCGTGGGCGGTAGGTAGGAGCGGGAACGAATGGAGGATCTAGTTGGGTTTTGACATTTTTCTAAACGACCGTGGTCTTTGCAGCATGCTTCCAAATAAGTAACACTAACTATAGTAAATAATGCAGCACAACACAGACTAGTCAGAGTTTGCTAAATTTCATTCTTATTGGTCTTGCTTTATGTTTACAGTAGAGAGCTTCAGTGGAATGAACAATCGTGTAGTCTAGGCACGGGCAAACTTTGGCCCTTCCTCCAGGTGTTTTGGGCTCCAGCTCCCACAATTCATAACAGCCTCAGTGTTGCGCTCCAGAGCAGGTATATTCCTCTGACTTTAAACACAATACATTGCATAGGAAAAAAACAATCCTTTTATTGAAGATAAGTAAAAAACAAAGTAAAAGCACTTTAAGGAAATAGGTAAATCCAATTAGGTAAGAAGATAAGCAAGAACAAATTAGATAGAGTTCAGCAACGTACATAAAAGCAAAATCCACACATCTCCAAAACAATCCAGAAAATCGGGAATACATTGATCCAAGGCTTGGGTAAGCAATCATGAAAACCACAATTCATAACAGCCTGTGTTGCACTCCAGAACAGGAATATTCCTCTGACTTTAAACACAACACATTGAATGGGAAAAAACAATCCTTTTATTGAAGATAAGTAAAAAGCAGCAAAGTAAAAACACTTTAAGGAAATAGGTAAATCCAATTAGGTAAGAAGATAAGCAGGAACAAATTAGGTAGAGTTCAGCAACGTTCATAAAAGCAAAGTTCACACATTTCCCATACAATCCAGAAAATCAGGAATACATTGATCCAAGGCTTGGGTAAGCAATCATGAAAACCAGGAATCCAAAACCATGAACAAGAAATATCTTAGCATGGAACTTCAGAGCAAGGTTTCCCTAAAACAAGGACGAGAACTTGGCGTGATTCTAAACGATGCTTCATCTGACTACACATCCCAAACTTGAGACTTTTATCCCCTCGTTAGCTAGGTCCCTAGTGGTCAGAAATTGGTTTCTCTTTAGTTGAGGTTTTGTTATTGTTTTCTGTCGAAGCCTGGCAGAGTGCCTAAGCCTTTGCACAGCTCTCCTGTTTTGACTAAACTCTTCTCGTCTATCGATGCTTCATCTGACTACACATCCCAAACTTGGGACTTTTATCCCCTCGTTAGCTAGGTCCCTAGCGGTCAGAAATTGGTTTCTCTTTAGTTGAGGCTTTGTTATTGTTTTCTGTCGAGGCCTGGCAGAGGGCCTAAGCCTTTGCACAGCTCTTCTGTTTTGACTAAACTCTTCTCGTCTATCGATGCTTCATCTGACTACACATCCCAAACTTGAGACTTTTATCCCTTCATTAGCTAGGTCCCTAGCAGTCAGAAATTGGTTTCTCTTTAGTTGAGGCTTTGTTATTGTTTTCTGTTAAAGCCTGGCAGATCGCCTAAGCCTTTGCACAGCCCTCCTGTTTTGACTAAATTCTTCTCGTCTATCTCTCGGCTCGTTATCTACTTGCTCATTAATTTCTGCAGGTGCCGAGCTATTTTAATCATCATCCCCACACACCCCAGGGACATTCTTCTGGGGAAACTACAGGGATCTCCTGGTCATTCTCTGCATCAGTATCACTGACCAAACCATTGCCATCTTGAAACTCATCTTGAACCTCATTAACATGAGTTTAAGCGTCTGAGGGGGAAAAGGAAGAGGCCTGAGGCTGTTAGGAATGGTGGGAGTCAGAGTCCAAAACACCTGGAGGGTTGAAGTTTACCAATACCTGTCTTAACATGTTGTTATGTACGTCAACCTTAGACCGACATATAGCTCAGTCCCTAGGTTTTTTGAAGCAGAGTTGAGATACGAGGCCTCTTTCCCACCCGTTATCCAGGAATAGCCAAACTAAAACAGTTTAACAAGTTACCCCATTGACGTTTGAAAGTCAGTGACCTCGGGGCACGTCACTGTATATAGGGAGAGAAACCCACCCAAGACTGAGCCCTTTGTTTCCTAAACTCCAGCCGGAGAGAAACGATCGTATCAGAAACAAAAGGACCGAACTTGGGGAGAAACACCTTAATCCCTTTTAAGGAGCGTCTACCTAGAGATTAACTAATCAATATCTAATTTTTCACAATTGGTTTGCGGTCGTTGAGCCACGCAACAATCCCAGCTCTTTTAGCTTTGCACTGCTTAACTTTTCACCTCCCTCCCCTTCTTTTGTATTTTATCTCCTGCCAGGTGTCTGGGTTTGGAAAGGAGTTGGCTTTGCATTGATCGGTCTGCACTGAAGAGGTGAAATGGTTCAGGCACTTTCTAGTTTAGATGCAGGGTCTCTTTCCTGGTGTGTGCTTCTCACAGATAGCACAGAAAGTGTAGCTATTGCTCTGCTCCATCTTCACTACTCCCACCAGTTTTAGAGGGTTTTTTTCCCATGTCAGGAGTGACTTGAGAAAACTGTAAGTTGCTTCTGGTGTGAAAGTATTGGCCATCTGCAAGGATGTTGCCCAGGGGACGCCTGGATGTGTTACCACCCTGTGGGAGGCTTCTCTCATGTCCCCACATGGGAAGCTGGAGCTGACAAACAAGAGCTCACCTTGCTCCCCGGATTCAAACCATCAGTCTTTCAGTCAACCACTTCAGCAGGCACATGAGTGTAGCCCAGTGTTTCTCAACCTAATGCTGCGACCCCTTAATACAGCGCCTCATGTTGTGGTGACTCCCAACCATAAAATTATTATCGTTGCTTGTATTGTCGAAGGCTTTCATGTCCGGAATCACTGGGTTGTTGTAAGTTTTTTGGGGCTATATGGCCATGGTCTAGAGGCATTCTCTCCTGACATTTCACCTATATCTATGGCAAGCATCCTCAGAGGTTGTGAGGTCTGTTGGAACTACGAAAAAGGGTTTATATATCTTTGGTTTATATTTATATATAAACCCTTTTTCCTAGTTCTAACAGACCTCACTACTTCTGAGGATGCTTGCCATAGATGTAGGCGAAACGTCAGAAGAGAATGCCTCTAGACCATGGCCATATAGCCTGAAAAAACCTACAACAACCTATTATCGTTGCTATTTCATAACTGTAATTTTGCTCCTGCTATGAATCATAATGAAAATATCTGAAATGCAGGATGTATTTTCATTCACTGGACCAAATTTGGCACAAATACCCAATAACAGAGCTCCATGCAGTCATGTCGGCCTTGGAGGTGTCTATGGACAACACCAGCTCTTTGGCCTAGAAACTGAGCACCAACCCCCATACTTAGACACGACTGGGCTTAATGTCAGGGGAAAACTTTTACCTTACCTTACCCAACATGCCAAATTTCAATAGTGGTGTGGTTGGAGGGAGAATTGTCACTTGGGAGTTGTAGTTACTGGGATTTATAGTTAACCTACAATCAAAGAGCATTCTAAACTCCACCAGTGATGGAATTGAACAAAACTTGGTGCACAGAACTCCCATGACCAAGAGAAAATACTGGAAGGGTTTGGTAGGCATTGACCTTGAGTTTAGGAGTTGTAGTTCGTCTGCATCCAGATAGCACTGTGGACTCAAACAATGATGGATCTGGACCAAATTTGGTTCAGATACTCAATATGCCCAAATTTGAACCCTGGTGGAGTTTTTGGGAAATAGACCTGAACATTTGGGAGTGTTAGTTGCTGGGATTTATAGTTCAACTCCAATCAAAGAGCATTCTGAACCCCACCAATGATAGAATTGGGCCAAACTTCCCACACAGAAGCTCCATGATTTGGATCAAATTTGGCACGGATACTCAATATGCCCAAATGTGAACACTGGTGGAGTTTGGGGGAAATAGACCTTGACATTTGGGAGTTGATAGTTGCTGGAATTTATAGTTCACTTACAATGAAAGAGCATTCTGAATCCTGTCAACGATAGAATTCGGCCAAACTTCCCACACAGAACCCCCATGACCAACAGAAAATATTGTGTTTTTTGATGGTCTTTGGTGACCCCTCTGACACCCCCTCGCGACCCCCTCAGGGGTCCCGACCCCCAGTTTGAGAAACACTGGTGTAGCCCATTGCGCCACTGGGAGCTCCGTTTTAAAGAGGTCAGTGCAGAGACCTAAAATGGGGGAAATCTTGTGGCTTCTCCTTACTTTGGGTCTGTACGCTTCTGAGAAAGGGACACATACCAGTATGGAAACCACAACATCTTGTGGGGTTGCTATCTGAAATCTGGATGTAGTACCAGATCCACAGAAAGTGCCACAACCACGTCTTGTGGACATTTCGCACATTACAGGGGCCAACCTTGGTTTTACCATAGCTCATACTATTCAAAGAAGATACAGCCCATCACAGCTCCTTCATGAGCGTGTCTATGGGAGTCACACGCTTGCAAGCATGCAGTGCTGTTATTTACATGCACACTTGGCATTGTAGGTGCATATCAAAAACATCGTAGCGAGGTGCCTGTGAAAGGGAATGCACTGAATCTATTTTGCTGTTGTTGCTGATTCTTTGTCATGGCACACACTGGAATTCGAGGCTTCGTTCAGGTTTGATTCCTGCTTGGAATTGCATTAGGAGGCCATAACTCACTCAGATTTGGGAAGGATGTCGTGATTCTGCAGCATCCTTGCATCTGAGAATTCCTGGCAGATGGCTGGCTGTTTGGAAGGTTTTTCTATTCCTGCAGTGGCTTAGGCAGGCTAGATTTATCTCACGAGCTGTCAGAAAAGTCATTA